GAGTCGCAATTCCAATTGCGCTTTCGCCTTCCTGATAACTCTCCTGCATTTTCGAGCTATACATTTATACCCCTCCCTAGTCATCTGTCCAAGTTTCCACTTTTTGTAAGCTCCCTTTTTGTGCTTAAGTTGACCAAGGATTTCCCTGGCGAGCCAATCCGGTCTCCTACCATATTTGCTTTTCTTGCTACGCATTGGAATGGTTTCTTTCTGTGCCTTCTTTAAAATACTGCCAGCTCTCCTGGACTCCTTTCCCCTTCATGTTAGCATTCTGGGGGTTCTGCCTATCAGGTGTCTGAGGGAGTCAAAGTCATCTTTTCTGAAGTTCAAGGTGTGTATTTTACTACTCTCTTCTCTTCCTTTGGTCAGGATCCTGAAATCTACCATCTCAGGATCACTGCTTCCCAGGTTGTCACCCACCTCTACTTTCCCTATTAGCTCCTCCCTGTTTGTGAGCAGAAGATCAAGCTGTGCACAGCCTCTGGTAGTATCCTTCAGCACTTGTACCAAGAAGTTATCCCCAACATTCTCCAAAAACTTCCTGGATTGTCTGTGTACTGCCGTATTGGTCTGCCAACAGATGTCAGGGTGATTAAAGTCCCCCATAAGAACCAGGGCCTATGATCTGGAAACTTCTCTTGGATGGGAATGGAGTATTTTGCCGACACATGGAGTCTAAATTACTTTTAATGTCATGGCCATGTTGCACTAAACTGTTTAGACAAAGCCTTAGATTTACTTCTCTTTCCCATACTTACTCCTTTTCTTACTGGCATGCTGTCTCTGAGGCTTCATTTCTTCTCTTGAGGATTGCTTCCCTACAGTTGTATATACTAGTTTTTCTTTCAGATCCTGATCCAAAACTCTGTGATCCAGAATTTGATTTTGGAGCTTTGAGATTATGCACATGGAGGCTTAACTATCCTTCCACTTCCTGATATGGTCCTTCCAGGTCAGAATTGAGGTATCTCTAGGTAAAAAAGCCTTTTCTGCTTCTAACCATATAGTGTGTGTATTTTTGGTGGGTAGAAGATTTCAGTATCCAAAAGACTTAATCTGGCAAGTTTTGTCAGCACTAAATTCACCATGACTTCAAAATTGCTATCTGTAAATTAGTATAATGAAATCTCATTTAATTGAAACGGGGCCAGGTCCCCACTTACTGCTGAGATAATTAGGTTTCAGATGATAAAGGCATAATGTCCTGCAGAAGGAGCTGCAGAGAGGCCTCAAAAGCTGCCTGAAGCTCAGTGCTTATGGGAAAGGCCACCGTTTTTTATCCCAGAGGTCATGGAAAGTCAAGGAATCTGTGACTTCCATAGACCTCCATGACTTACGTTCACAGGTGGTTGGGAGCTGCCATGAGCGCTGTGGGGATCCCTGTAATTCTGAGCCGAAGGATACCTTGGAATTCTGAGCCTCCATGGGTGGCGGGAGACCCTACATAGCCCAGCTGAGCTCCCAGCCAGCCCCTTGTAGCTGCCTAGCAGCTTCCCATTTTGTGATGGGCATTGTTAGTGAATGTCAGGGACAGGTCACCGCTTAACTATGATTTTTTTTCTTCATTATCTGTGACCTGTCCATCACTTTTACTAAAAATATCTTTGAAGAAAATCTTAGTCTTACTTATGGGTTTAGGGCAAGGCTGGAGAAACTTTTTTGGATTGGGGGTTGCTGACCCACAGAAAAAACCATCGACAAGTGAGAAGCAAGAAAAACAAAAAACAACCCTCAGTATTGTGGTCCCTAGCTGAGAGAGAAAGATACTCCCCACATTCCCTTGGCACGCCAGAGCCTGGGGGGGGGGAGGGGTGCAGGCTAGTAGATTTTGTGTGCTCCAGCCCCATGGTGGGGTGGTGGGAGGACTCGAATGCCAGTGCAGTCTCCCCAATGATGGGGGAGAGTCCTGAGCCTCAGGGGCTGGATCCAAGCATGCCGGAGGCCACATCCAGCCCCCTGGGCCTGAGATTCCCCACCCCTGGTTTAGGGCTTTATCCTGCTTCTATTCCAGTCAATAGGAAATAGACTTGACTTCCTATAGACTTGAGTGGCGTAGGATCAAGCCCTTGGACAGAGTTTCTTCAAGTACTGCTCATGTTGATTCAAGTTAGGTTTGTGTGTGCTGCATGCATGGTAATTGGACAGCTGTTTCCCCTACCAGCACCGGTCAGGTCAGCTGTGAAGCCCCATTGAATGGTGCTTGATTTATGACTTCTCCAACCTGGCATTTCCTCAGTTCCTTCTTACTGCCTGTGACGGTCATTGGAACTGTGGTGGCTTGGTTTTCTAGTGTTCCCCTCATTGTTCTGTAGCTCCGTGTTAGGGATGTAAAGGTTAATGGATAGGCTCTAATTAACTGGTAGGGGCTGAAACAGCTCCCTGCCCGCCAGAGGCGGGGGCTGCTCCAGCCTTGTGGGGCCCACTGTGGTTGTTGTGGGTTCCACTGTAGTGGGTCCAGCCTGCCCCCTTCCCCCCCTGCAGGCTACACGCTAGCTTCCCGGGAACCAGCTTTGCTGCGGCAGTGAAGCCTCCCCAGGAGTGGGGCCAGCAGTCCCTGCTGCCCAGCTTCCCAGGGAGGCTTTTCTACAGGCTCTGCAGAATAAAAGAGCCCACAGTGAAGCCTGCTGGCCCTGCTCCTGGGGAATCAGCTTTGCTGATGGTTCTACATACAAAGATTTTCATTTAAGCTTTAAACTGTAGAGCCCCACAATGGCTGTGTCTACATTGGCACCCCTTTCCGGAAAAGGGATGCTAATGAGACACTTCGGAATTGCAAATGCCGCGGGGGGATTTAAATATCCCCCGCGGCATTTGCATAAACACGGCTGCCGCTTTTTTCCGGCTCGGGGTTTTGCCGGAGAAAAGCGCCAGTCTAGACGGGATCTTGCGGAAAATAAGCCCTTTTCCGGAAGATCCCTTATTCCTCCTTGAAAGGGATCTTCTGGAAAAGGGCTTATTTTCCACAAGATCCCGTCTAGACTGGCGCTTTTCTCCGGCAAAACCCCGAGCCGGAAAAAAGCGGCAGCCGTGTTTATGCAAATGCCGCGGGGGATATTTAAATCCCCCCGCGGCATTTGCAATTCCGAAGTGTCTCATTACATTGGCACCCCTTTCCGGAAAAGGGATGCTAGACGCAGCCAAAGTGTGTAACCGTGTAACAACTAGGATTTTTAGTGGTTAAATAGTTACATTTTTAAAAGATTTTTTTTTTTATATCCCTACTCAACCTAGTTTTCATAGTTTTAATAGCTTATAATTACTTAGTGTATAGGAGCTGAAGGGTTTCCCCACCCCAGCCTTCCTGTTCCCCCTACCCTTGGGGCATGGCTTGATTCAAAGATTTAAACCCTGCAAAGCTTGTCACAAATTTATGCCAATAGGTGGGCCTCGCAGCTCTAACCTCACATCTGAGGGAGGTGAATCAGCCGCACTGGTGCAAGATTTACATAGGGTTTCTTCCCAGAAATAAGAAAGAGTGGGAGTTTTGAAACAGCTTCTCCTGGAGGTGGTTCTGAGACCTCAGCCCTCCTCATCACAGCAGGATCTGAGAACGCACACATCTAACTGGAATGGACATACGCAAACACTTAAAGAACAGGACCAAGACCCACCTCCGGTACCACGGTCTGCCATCCTGGAAGCTGTCAGTGTATTGCTTCCTGTCTTCAGTGAGTATCCCATTGCTGTGCTTAGTTACAGTACAGATTAGGGAGAGTAGTAAGAGGTTAGGGAGAGTAGTAAGAGTGCAGTTTACTGTGTGGTGACCCCTTCTGTGACTGGCTGAGAGCTGTTGCTGATGTCTGTCATGAGGTGTCATGGTAAAGATTTGGTGTTAATTTCTGTAGGACTAAGTGATAGAGGTGAACTCAAATAAGTCTTTCTCTTATAGTGATGTCAAAACTGGTATGTTTGTCAGCCAAGTAAGAACTTCATGAGAGAGTGGATAAAATGGCAAAACAACCACCATATCCAGTATTTTCCTTTTGAATGCAATATAACTTCTTTACTGCCTTTTCACTCTTGTGGCCCTTTCACTTTTCTAAGTGACCATCCTTTCAGCTCAGGAAGGATTCTACTCAATCGAGTCTTTTGTTGGTCAGGCAACAGATGTGTGCATTTAAATGTCTGTCCTTTTGAAATAAGTTTTTACCAAAATTCCAACCTCTCTTTTCCTGTAGGAAGTCATCTCTTTGATTTGAGTTTAGTCACATTTTGACCACCCAGTCAATAATGTTGATGTATGCCTTCTGATCTCTTTTGGTAGCATTTGCTTGTTCTTTTACATTTTGGATACCATAGCTGCTGGTAAACATCCTGTAACCACTCTTGCCTCATAAATGTTTAGTCTCAGTTATACTAAATAGTGACTAACAGTTCCTGTTCTTTGAGCAACTCGTTCTTTGAACCCATACTTTCTCTCCTATTAATAATTTTGTTAAGTTTGGAAAAACTGTAGCTAAGCTTATGGAGTTTAAAGTTAAGTTTACAGGGTTTTTGTTAAACCAGAAGAGATTCACCTCCATGTTTATTCTTAAGAAACATATGGGGGGGAATAAAATGTGATGTTTTTGGCTACTTCTGCATCTAATGAGGGGGAACTGCTCAACTTGAGAGATGGGCCAAAAGTGTATGGTGACTTATGTGTACACAATAAATCTCTTAATTTACATGTTTCTATAGATTATTTCAGTTGTTTTTACAGTGCTTGTTGATTAAGAGATACAAACTGGATTCCTATTTTGCTTGGGGAAATGGCATTGCTGATGTCTGTCATGAGGTATCATGGTAAAGATTTGGTGTTAATTTCTGTAGGACTAATTGATAGAGGTGAACTCAAATAAGTCTTTCTCTTATAGTGATGTCAAATGTATGTCCTGTGTTATGTGCCAGTGTAAATTGGCATGCAGCATGTTGATTTCTATTTGTAAGACTAATAGCTTTAAAAATTTGATCAGATTTAAAGTTTTACTCCCTCCCCCCCTTTTTTTTTCTTTTAACAGTAGTCGAATGGGGAGATGATGTTAAAGTGGTTTCAGAAGATGAAGCCATGATGTTGGTGAACCATCAAGCAACAGGAGATGTCTGCACACTAATGATGTGCCTTCAGGATAAAGGCACGGTAGGCTATCACCAGGGAATGGGTATACTCTGTGTATGCAATAGTTATTGAGGTATATGTAACAATGAAATTGATAGGCAGGCAGCAGGTTTAAAATAAAAGAAGTACTTCACACAATGCACACTCAACCAAGATGTCTATCCTTTCCCAAGATGTTTTCTCTACTCAATCCCAAAAAACAACAAAATCCCACCCAACCATGTATTAGGGGTTTGTTTGTTTTTTGTTACAGCTAGGGTTGCCAGATGGTTTCAGCAAATATACCGGACACACTTGACATTACACCACAATCTACATTACATCTTACTTAGAAAATACCGGACCTTTCTATTTTCTCACTTATATTTTCTCAATTTGTTTCCCGAACAGAACGCTCAAATACTGGACTGTCCGGTTCAAAACCGGACACCTAGCAACCCTAGTTGCAGCCAGTAGTTAAGAGCAGATTTCTGAGGCGTTCTTTAAAATATAGACTATTTTAGAAGTGCATTACAAGAAAATGTTTGTGGCCTAGGTGAATTGTAAAGAGGCAAGTTTCCTTAACTAATATTGAAACAAATAGTCCATCATAAACATGACTTTTCTTTTTCTCTTTCATTGCAAACTATACCAATACCTGTGAAATTTCCTATATATGGATTTTATGCCAGGAGAGAATTCAAAAGTGTAAAACAAAATGAATGAGGAATTTTAGAGAGAAGAGAGTTCAAAAATTGAAAGTGATCGTGTGGCTATTTTATTGTTCCTGTTTTGTCAAAATTGTTTGGCTTTTTCTCTAAATTAGGCTTAATAGGTTTGAGTTGGCAAGGACTGGTACCTTTGTTCTAGTTTTAGGCGTTTTGTTAGTAATAGTTGTCATCACGAAGTTTTCATGTGCGTATGTGCTATCTAGAGTTTATAAAAGTCCATATGGCTCAGATGTTGGTGACCATGATGTGGGGAGTCCTATGAGGAAGGAGTAGTCAGAGGGGTAAGCAGGAGAGAGTGCCGTGCTTGGATAGGCTAGGAAGGAAAGGAGATGTACATAGCAATTTCAGGGGGACTGCTCTGAAAATTTGACTCCACTCTACATACTCTTCTGTCCCTGTCACTCCAATGAAGCTTTCACAATGAAAGAAAGTGGGGAGGCTTGCAGTCTTCCCCACAATCTCTGCACAGCTTGTGTCTTCACAGGAACTCCTGACACTGAGCCATTCTTACTGGTGGTTTTTTGTTGTTGTTGGGGGTGGGCGGGGGGAGTATTAATCATTATTGATTGTGCTGTTAAAAGAATACCATTTACATATTTTTGGATGTTTTCTACTTTTTCAAATGTATTGATTTCTGTTCCAGCACAGAATACAAAGTGTTCAGGGCTCATTTATTTTTTTTATTTCAAATATTTGTACTATAAAAAACAAAAGAAATAGTGCTTTTCAATCCCCCATTACAACTACTATAGAACAATTTCTTTATCATTGAAGTTGAACTTACAAATGTAGAATTATGTACAAAAATAACTGTGCTAAAAAATAAGAGCGTAAAACCTACAAGTACACTCAGTCCTATTCTTCTTGAGCCAATCACTCAGACAAACAAGTATGTTCACATGCGTGAGAGATTATGCTGCTTGCTGCTTATTTACAATGTCACGTGAAATTGAGAACAGGAATTCGTATGGCATTGTTGTAGATGGCGATGCAAGATATTCACGTGACAGATGCACTAAAGATTCATGTATCTCTTCATGTTTCAACTACTATTCCAGAGATACGTGACCATGCCAGTGATCCAAAACAGTACAGGTTAATGCATGTTCATTTTAATCTTTGTAAGATGCTACTAGCAGAAGGGTGGGTGGGATGGTTGGTTGGTTGTTCAGGTTCTGTAGTTTTCACATCAGAGTGCTGCTCTTCTAAGACTTCTGAAAGTTCCACACCTGAGGTTCCACACCTGACTTCTGAGGTTCCACACCTCAAAATTTCACATTGGAATTTACTTTGTCAAATCTGCAATGAAAGTGTTCTTAAAATAAACATCTCGTGCTGGGTTATTATCCAAGATTGCTATAACATGAAATATATGGTAGAATGCAGGTGAAACAGAGTGGAAGACATAGTTTCTCCCTCAACAAGCTCAGTTGCAAATTTAATTAGCACGTTTTTTAACAGGCAACATCATAATGGTAGCATGTCCTATGGAAAGGTGGCTGAAGCAGGAAGGTCCATGCAAATGCTTAGCATATCTGTCACATACATCCCTTGCAGTGCTGGCTACAAAAGTGTCATGTTCTCACTTTCAAGTGACATTGTAAGTAAGAAGCAGGTGGCATTATCTCCCATAAATATAAACAAACGTTTGAGTGGCTGAAAAAGAAGTACAGGCAGTCCCCGGGTTACGTACAAGATAGGGACTGTAGGTTTGTTCTTAAGTTGAATCTGTAAGCTGATCAGTTTCAACAGCGGCTGAATCTGGACACCAGTTCCGACTTACATACAGATTCAACTTAAGAACCCCAGGCGTCCCCAAGTCAGCTGCTGCTGAAACTGATCAGCAGCTGATTCCAGGAAGCCCAGGGCAGAGCAAGTCTGCCTCGGGCTTCCTG